TTAACTCATTTAATTTTCACAGCAGCCCTCAGAGAGTAGGTGCTGTTAACTATCTCCATTTAAGGAAGCAGAGGCACAGAAAGGTTAAGTGACTTGCCCAATGTCACATAGCAAGTGGGGAAGCCTGCAAGCCACATGCGGCTCTTTGGGTACATGTGGCACTGAAGTAAAATTGAAAGTAAAACTATCATAGCTTCATTTATAAAATTTTTAAAGAATATTATTCACATAATGGTGATTTCATTTGTTTTATAGTTCTCAAATAATTTTTAAATTGTGAGGGACAGGATTGGCTCTTCCATCTCAAAAGTTTGCCGATCCCTGCCCTAGACCGTCTGGCTTTGGAGTAGGTGTTCTGTAAGAATCCATTAGGTAAGTGACTACTAAGGCTGGTGGTCTTAGACAACAGCTTTCTGCATGTCAAAGACTGGTCAAGGTAGATGGGACCTTAGAAAAGCCTTAGTGAAACCTGCTGTTTCATGGATGAGGACCCCAGGGGTCAGAGGGTGAAAGACCTGCTGGAGGTCTCAGTAAGTCTGGCAGAGCTGAGCTGAGATGGGGACCCAGGCCTCCGGACAGCCATGCCCAGTTGGGGCGCCCATGGTTCACGATTTTCAGGTTGTATGTTCTAGGAAACCACGCTGAGAAAAATTGCAGTCACTTCCATAATCATTAATGCAGTCTCAGTGAACACTTAAGGCACCCCCACTCATGCATGTTATATACAGTAACCCTGATCCCAGACACTTTAAATAACATTGTTACAAAAATGAAAGAATGAGGCACTATGCAACGCTGTGTGGCAGTACGTGCCTACAAAACCCTGCACTTTAGAACACATACAAATAAGGATATACTGGAATGGCTGCCTATGGGAGCACCCTAAGGGGATGGGAGTGACCCACAGGGTAAAGGGGACCAATGACAACTGCAATCCATCACCTGCGGAGCAGGATTAATTCATCTCACTGCACCGACCAAAAATAAAACTGAGTCAAAATAAGACACTGGATGAAACCACTGTCTGAACCATGGCTCTGGGCTTATGTAAGAAAGTGGGGACACACCCTGAACTGCCAAAGGCAGAGGCCTGGCAGTGTCCCCGGGCGGGGCCAGTGAGGTCAAGGGGAAAGTCAGTCACGGAGGAGGCCCTCAAAGGCTGTAGGGAAGGAGTGAAGAGCAGCTCCCAGGTGAGTGTTGGAGGTCACACAGTCACTTGCTATTGCACCTTCCTCACCACTATAAGGATGATTTAAAAAAAAAAATAAATTTTATTGGGGAACAGTGTGTTTTCCCCGGACCCATCAGCTCTAAGTCAAGTCATTTTTGATCTAGTTGTGGAGGGTGCAGCTCACTGGCCCATGTAGGAATGGAACCGGCAACCCCGGTGTTATGAGCACCGTGCTCTAACCAACTGAGCCAACCGGCCGCCCCTATAAGGATGATTCTTAAGGATGAGAAGAAAACATGGATATAGGCCAATACCCCCATGATTGGATGATGAGTGTAGGCTCTGCCATAAGGGTCCTGCCACACGCTGGTCGAAGTGGCACATCTACCCACCGCTCATGCCAATGGGGTGTGCCCGTGTGGGTCAGGCGAAGGAAGAGGCGTCCTCATTTCCTCAGCTGGCCCTTAGCCACCCACCCGGCGACTGGAACCTCCCTGGGATGTGGCTATGCCCTGGGCACAGAGCCCACAGTTCTGGGATCAGGTCACAAGGTGGCAGCGTGGGGGAAGAAAGCTGATTGTCTCCTCCAAGCAGAGGACGTTTAGGATTGCCCGCAGGCCCTGGAAGCAGGAGTACCATGGTCCTTCAAGATGGGCTCATGTATTAAACATGAAATGAGGCAGAAGCCTATAACCACAGTGGCTGGGGAAAGGCAGCAGCACGGAGAGGCAGGAATGATTTTCTAGGAAGTAAATCTCCGAGCCTGTCAGTCGTCACCCATTATCCAGCAGAGGTGGTGCTGTGTGTGTGAATATGTTATTGTGTGTGACTAGTGTAATTGCATGTGTGAGGGTGATCGGGTGTGTACATAAGTGTGACTGTGAGTGTGGGGGAAGAGGGAAGCAGCAGGCCCAAGTGTCGCCAGAGAGACTGGGAGGAAGCTATAAACCTGGGTGATGTCTCTTATCAGTGTGCCCTTCTAGGGGAATTAGGGTAGGGAGCAAAGTTCATGCAGATTACTAGCCGGGAGGCGTCAAGCATGGCAGCGGTACTGGAGGGGAGGAGGCAGTGCTCTAATGGGAAGGAAGGGCCTGAGCGAAATTCCACGGAGCCAAGACTCAGAATGGATTGTGGGCCCTGCGCAGCCGCTTCGTCCAGCCTGGCCATTTTTGAGTGGTGCCTCTTAACCTGCCTGAGCTTCAGTTTCTCCACCTGTAAAATGGCAGAAAATTCGGCCTGCCTTCCTGGCTGTGTGTGAGGATTAGGAGAGAGCTGCGCATGTAACACACTTAGAAGATGGCCTCGTGTGTGATGAGTACACATCTGTTGGTTGTGGAGAAAACATGAAATCATGCTATTCGAGGACACCTGTGTGCAGCCTGGTCTAGCCCCACCACTCTGGGCCAGTCCCGTCCCTTCGTCCGAGCCTTCCAAAGAGCAGCTTTCTAATAGTGGGATGGGCCTTCTCAGGAAATGGGGAGCGCCCCATATCTAGGGGAGGGGGGGCGGGGTTTGCAAGGGACAAGCCTGCTGTTAGAGGAGGGGGGCTGTTAGGCTGGACTCTTCTGACACCGCATGCTCCAGGGGTTCTGAAGACTGACGCATATTCCTGCTCAAGGGGTGCTGTTGTTTCCCTTTTCTTTTTATGAAGGACTGGGTGGAGAACATTTGGTGTCATCAGGATTACTTTGAAACTACCGCCTCACATTGGGAGCTGGCTTGAGTCAGCCGGTCACCATGGAATTTCTTTTTTTAGCACATAAACAGCCAAGTTAGAGGCAGCTTGTTTTGTTGCCCCGTCCAGGGCGGAAAGCAGCCCGTTGAGGTGGAACTGCCTGGCTCGTATTTCTTGAGCAAACAGAGCCGTGTCTCTCAGCTCACCAATTAGGAAGCCCAGAAGCGGTCATTTGGAGACCACATGTCTAGTTATGTCTAGTGATTCAGGTGTCTTCACCTGAGAAGCCCTCTCTGAGTGTCAAAACCACAAGATAGAGGACATATAGTAGGTGGGGGGGAGGGCTCTACCTACTATATGTCCTCTATATTTCTCAGAGCCACCCCAGGAGGCAGTGAACGCTAAGTGCCAAGTCAGTGAGGAAATGCTCTTTCGGAGCCAAAGCATAAAAAACCCCAGCCACAAACCACTGAGCCTTTCCTGAGTGTTAGTTTCTGAGCCCAGAGCAGGCCCCTGAGAGGAAGGGAGGCTGGTGCTGGAAATTCGAAGTAGTAGGGGGAATTACATGGGATGGGGTGGGGCCCTTTGAGGGCATGGAGGTAGGAAGGTATAAAGTGTGTTACAGGGAAGAGCTTGGTTGAAACCAGGGTTTGGAACCATAAGTTCAACACACATTTATTATGCGTTGTCTATGTGCTAGACACCGTTTGAGTCACCAGGGTAAAGTTGGTGAACAAAACGCAAACCCATCCTCTGTGGACACGCTAGGAGTGACAAGATCAACAGTAATAGTTCACAGTTATGGAGCTTATGGCATGCCTGGCACTGTTTGAAGTACTTCACCTTTATTTACTCATTTAATCCTCAAAACACCCACATAAAATAGTTATGGTTATTTCTCTAGTTCACGGAAGAGGAAGCGTAGGCCCTGAGTGTAGAATTCAAACCCAGAACCCATGCTCTGACCCTGACATTCTACTATGCCATGACCCGACCCGAGGGTGAGAAAGGGTGCGAGGTGAGGTTGCCAGGTAACGGGGGCTGGCTTGCAGCCTGGTGAGTGCTGGGCAGGGGAAGTTGGGGGTCCAGTGCTTTCAGAAAATTAATCTGGGGGCATCAATTGGGAGGCAGGTGTCTGAAGGGACTTGGTTCAGGGGGCAGTGCACCCCCTTGGCCTCACATCGGAGGGGAGAGCAGTGAAGACAGAAGAATCAGTAGATAGGGCTTGGAACCTTCCTCAGGCCACACCTTGCCTGGAACTTGACAGAAATTGTTTCCTCCCATCAAAGAGGACTGACTACGTTTACAGTGGATTATTCATTTTATTATTGTTAATTGCGCTTCATGAGGGATGAGGGGGCTCTCTGGTGTGTCGAGCCCTGAGCCTACAATGAGGGGCTAAAAGGCCTCACAGGCTTGGGCAGAAGAAGTGATGATTTGTACAAGGTCCCGCCTTGGTCCTCTCTCCAAATTCCATCAGCCAATCTCTAAACTCGGTGTTAGGTGAGCCGCAGACCCACTCCCATTCTCCCACCCCTGGCCCCTCCTCCCAGTCCTGCACCACAGGACCCTTCCCGTTTCTTTCTCAGCAACCCCAGCACCCGCCTACGGGGCCGCCAGCCTGCAGGTCCCGTGCGGCTGGAGCCATGCTCTCCTGCCGGCCTGGCCGTACCACTGCTTTTGTCTCCCTGTCTGCCAGCCACTGCGTGCCGGCTCCAGACTCCCAGAAGCACAAGCCAGATCCCTGATTCAACCTCTTCCAGTTTTCATCCACGTTTCCTGAACGGATGTAGGACCTCGCTCTGGCTTAGGGAAGAGCTGCCAACTTAATTTTCTTGGCTGCCACCACCTGGATGCTGTCAACAAAGCCTCTTAGCGTGCCCCTCCCCACACCTGCACTCACACCCTCTGGACCACTTTGCCAAGCCTTCTCCTTGCTGTGTTCTGCCTCAGGGAAAGACCCTGCCTCCCGAATCCCAGGAAGGCCGGGCCCCTCAGGCACTGTTCGGCCCACCCATCAGGGTCCATGCCCTTGTCCCCCACTCCCCTTAGCCCCAGCCTCTCCCTCCCACCCCAGCTCTGCTCTGACCCTCAAAGCGCAACTCCAACTGCCTACGTATACCCTTTCCGGGGGAGGGTGGGGTGCAGGGAACAGGTAGTACTCCCATGAGCTGGCAACAATGTTATGAACACATTTCAAGATTGCCCTTTCAGAATGTCCTCAGCCTAGCATAGCCCTTGAGGGCTGGGAACTCCCGCCTGGGAATTTTTCCAATATTCTGCCAGCTGTTTCTTTCAGTGGTTTTATTATTTTTCTGCCTGCTCCAGCTCCTCCTTTCGCTTTCAGTATGGCAGCTCAGGCCCAATGGTGCTGGAGGGGTGGGGACCAGGCATCTGCTGAGGTAGGAGCTGTGGCCATGGCCAGCTGTGCCAAGGGAAGGGATGGGACGGAGGAAATGGGAGTGGAAGAGAGGAAACGAGACCAGCGGCGGGGCAGCCTGTTGGTTTCTGGTGACTTTCACGTCATTTGGCCCTGAGCATACGGCTTTGTCTCCTGGCCCTGTCAAAAACGCACATTTGCTGCTTGGGCGGGTGACACACTAACCCAGTAATACCAATCCACTTGTCAGGTGTGCTGGCTATTGTCTAACAGAGCAGAGGCCAAGGAGAAGGGCACACAGAACAGGTAAGTTGTGGAGAAGCATATAGGAGGAAGGGCTGGGCGCATGGACCCTGTGCCTGGGGAGGTGTCCCTGCCAGACAGCTGGAGACTGGGGCAAGGTGCCGAACCCCTGCCTAGGAGGTAGGTAGGGTGAATGGGGTCCCTTGGCGAGACGATTTCCCTGATGTGATGTTGGCACCACAGCACCTGCCTGTCCCAGTGAGTCTTCACAATGGGTCGCTTGGACAGCCAGCGTCTTGAGGGGACATCCACTGGCCTCCAGCTTCAGGTAAGGATTCAACTCAGCTGCCTGTAACAGAAAAGCAAAATAAGTGGCTCAAACCAGAGAAAGCTTTCTTTTTCTCTCACGGAAAAGAATTGTGGAGGCAGGCAGTGCTGAGCATTTAAACACAAGACTTAAAGGAACGGAGACAGCTAGGTACCCCGCCTCACCTTCCGGAAGCAGGCAGCTCATTCCGTATGGAGTTTGAGAAATGTGCCTGCGTGGGCTTCCCCCCCTCCTGTGCCACCGCCCCACAGCCCCACGTGCTTCCTGGGCTCACCTCCCAAATCCTGTCGTGGGGTCTGCATCTGGGGGAACCCCCAGACAGGATACTAACATTCATGAGCACTTACTGCATGGGAGGCCTTGCCTCACTTCTTCCTCAACCCTGTGGGGTGGGATGCAATTATTAAGCCCCATTTTAGGGACAAGGCCATAACTTGCCCATTGGAGCCATGACTCAAACCAGACTGATCATTTTGTGATATTTCCTTGGGATGGATTCTTAAACCTGAACCCCTGGGTCAGAGTATGTACATTTTCAGGCTTTTGACCTGTTCTGCCAAATTGCCCTGAGTAAAGTCAAGCCTGATTGTCCCTCCCCACCAGCAGTGTGGGGGACAACTCCCTTCTCATGCCTTCACTGCCAGGGCCTCCCAGCTCTTTCCAACTCAGCCTTTGTGAGGCTAGTACTCCTCCCAAATATGTTTTTTATTTTTTATTTTTTATTTTTTTTAATGTAGAAAGCATTAACTAGCATATTAACTAGCCTGTTAACCTTATACTAGCAGGTATGCCATGTGAGTTGAACTGAAAGGGATGGACTCAAATGCACAAGTTCCTAGCCTGAGCAGAGCAGTCGTTTCCTCCAGCCCTCTTGGCCTTCTGGGGACTGCAGTTTTTGCTCATGTCCCCTCCCTGGTGGCAGGGGGGCGGAGGTGTGTGGGTGGACAGGTGTGAAAGGGAGCGGTAGGGTCAAGGAGGAAGGGCCGCTGGCTGGCCAGTGTGGTAAGGGCCTGGGGAGAGAAATCTTTGCACACCTTTGGTCTCTGCCACATTTCTTTTTTTAGCAGAAATGCTGGTGAGGTGAGTGGGGTGGGGGTGGGGGGAGGCTGCTCCCACAGCACCCTGTCTCTTCCTCTTAGATATTTGAAGAGCCACCAGCCGCTTCCCTACACAGGAGTGCCAATGCCTGAAGGTGGCAGCTGGAGGGAGGCACCGGGATGCCTCTCACCAGCACGTGAAGCTGTCCTCAGCGAGCAAGGAACCCTGCCTGTGGATCCAGGATGGGGCTGTGCTTGCCTGGCCCCTTTCTAATAAAACTCTCCACTGGGCTCTATAAGTATCCAAAACACTTTCGCGTCAGGGAACTCCTTTGATCCTTCCACAAACCTGTAAAGTGGGCTGAGCCAGGGTGTCATTATCTCCATTTTACAGATGGGGAAACTGAGGCCCTGATTAAAATGATGGTTCAAAGTCACATGCTATTACCCAAGATTTCTGTAGCCTGACCTCCTAGTCATTCAATGTATTTGAAGTGATAACAATGTTCATTGAACATTATTATGGGCAGATACAGGGTGTTTGTTCAGCCTTTGAAGCCCTCATAGGTAGATAGTCATCTGCGTGTGGCAGAGCTGGGATTTGAACCTGGGCTGTCCGACTTCATAGCCAGGGCTTCTCCAAGTGTGGTCCCCAGACCAAGAGCATCAGCTGGGAACTTGTAAGAAATGTCTATTCTCGGGCCCTGCCCCAGAACTACCGAATGAGAAACTTGGGGGGTAGCTCGGCAGTCAGTAGTTTAACATGCCCTCCAGGTAAGCCTGATGCATCTCAAATTTGACAGTTGCTTCTAGTACATTCTGTTAACTCCCTGGATTTCAATCCTGACTGCACAGCGTCACTTGGGAGCTTTAATAAATACCAATGGTGGTGGGGCCCAGGCATCGGTATTTTTAGAAGCTCCTATTCACGGTCTTTGATGTGCATCAGAGAGGTAAGCCCTGGAAAGCTTCGCATTTTCCAGAAGGTTCTAGAGTACAACAGGGCAGCCTGTTTCAGAGAATCCTGGAGGGAGTGAGGGGAGACTTGGAGTCCAGGAAGGAGAGATCCTGGGGTTTCAGTCCCTCCTCCTCCAGCCTCCTCTGCGGGACCCAGGAAGCCTGAAGCCTTGGTGGGGCCCAGATCGCAGTGGCTGTTTGTTTGTCTTGGACTTGGCCCAAGCAGGCAGCTCATT